ACAATTAAGCTAGTATGCTGAAAGTTATGTTAGGGACAAGAGCGTCTGTCGTATTATGTTTCAACAAAAGTGCCTATGATATTTAAGATCAACAATGATGTGGAATTGTTCAGTTCCTGAACCCTGATGTCACAGTAGGTAATAAAACCTTACATCAGCTCCACAGGGACATGCACAATCTCCCTCACCCCCACCCTGCGGGATATACAGTGAGCGTATGTCACAGGCCATTGCTTCACTGCTGCCATCCTGCTGTCAAACTGGATGGGTGGACCGCACAGACAGGCTGTAAGCAATGCCTGGACCACTAGCAGGGAGGGATAATCGAGACCATGTTTGTTTGCCAGGAGTTGGAAGTGTTTTCTCAAGTCAGAAGGTGAAGGAGCTAAGATAGAAGTACAACCTTTACTGATGGGATGTGTAGTTGAACCAGTTGTTTCCTTTTCAAACCTTTTCTTGTTCTACATATGTGGGGTCACTGCAGAATGTTAGGATTGTAGCTTTCTTGGAAAAGCTAAAACTCCACACAAGCTAAGTATTAAAGAGTTAATCTTACAACTGATACTCAGCTTGGAGGTAATTAAAATTTATTATGTACAAATATGAATGTGATATCATATATGTCTATGTGATGTGAATAAGTGATGGTACAGTTAGCAATGTAGTAGTTGGATCACAGCATGCTGTGAGTGAGTGAGTAATTGCTAACTTATACTGCAGCCAGCAATGTTACAGCTTCATCACTGGGGGCTGTAAATAAACTGAACAAGTCCATACAAGACAAACCATAGACTCATTGTCTGCACCATTTATGATATCACCGGTGACAAAACAGTAATAACAACAATAATAATAATAATAATAATAATAATAATAATAATTAAAAAAAATAATGATAAAAAATAAATAATAACAGTGTTTCCGTTCTCCGGTAATTGCCGGCTTTTTACCGATAAAAATATCAACAAGCCGATAAATATGAACATTGTCGGCTACCATGTCCGATAAAACATTGTTTGTTTTAAGATATGATCATGTCAACAGTTACTTGCCTCATATAAATTGATAGGCTTTATTCATCAAACACAGAAACGCAAGCGTCTGTCTCGCATTCCAGGGAACCCCCCATCTATTAATAGCATGACTATCCCGCACCAATTAACGTGCTTCGCTTTGATTGGATAATATTGTCTTGATAGATGACGTTGGTAATCACGTGATCTCTGACGCCTCGTAGCACGAGATTAAACATGCCGAAGGCGAAGCAGACGAATCTTTCCACTTTCTTTTGGGTGGAGACGTCTAGTGCTAATCTGAAACGGAAACATGCGAGCGAGCGAATGTATTGAATCAAACACTCCCTCGACCTCGAAATCTTCGGACACAATGCCTAGCGAACCAGACTTGAAAAAGAAAACGAAATCTGTACTGCGAAAGTTAAATGCAGAGTGGTCGAATGAATTCAAGTGGCTTCGTTTTGAGGAGGAGGGCGACAAAATCATAATATTTTGCCGAATCTGCGAGGCAGCAAAAAAATCTAACGGTTTCACTAAAGGTTGTATTAATCTCAAGAAATCTGCTTTGAAAGATCATAGAGACAGCGCCTCTCATCATCAGGCCATTACAACGATGTATCACAAAAATGCAATGGCAGTGCATATGGAGGTGGCAGCAGACAAATCTGACGAGAAATTAACAGCAATGTTAAACACAGTTTTATTCATGTCTCAAGAAAATATTGCTACCTCCAAGTTTTCTAAACTAATCGAACTGCAGCAGCGGAACGGATGTGAACATTTACAGGGAGAAACGTACACTCATTCGGACTCGATAGACGCGATGGAGAATGCACTTGTTGAGAGTACTAAAGAACATTTAAAATCTAAACTTGAAAAAAGCAAGTTTATTGGACTCATTATCGATGAGACTGTAAATATCACGGTTGAAAAAAAACTGATATTGTTTGTGAAAATCGTTAACGACGGAAAGGCAGAAACAGTGTTTTTAGGAAATTTTTCAGTTCATAGTGGTACAGCCGAATGTATCATGGAAAAAATTCTTGAAATTTTGCCTCAATGGAACATTCCTTTGGAAAAAGTGGTCGGTCTAGGATCGAATGGTGCGTCTGTTATGACCGGGAAACACACAGGAGTTGGGAAGAGGTTGCAGGATCATAATTCATATCTTGTGCACGTCCATTGCATAGCCCATCGTGTCGCACTTGCTTCAGCCGATGCAGCGAAGATTTCGAAGGTCGTAGCGGACTATAGAAGGACATTGAATGATATCTACAAACTGTTTGAATATTCAGCAACGCGATACAACAGATTGCGAGAACTTTCAGAGGTCCTTGAAGATTCTGACTTTTCAAGTTTAAAACAACTATGCAGTGTTCGATGGCTTTCCGTGGGACGGGCGGTCAAAGCAGTGAAATCTAACTGGCCAGCTCTTGTTCTCGAAATTGAAGAGGAATCTGCCGAGCGAAACAACGCTGATGCCACGAATATTCAGAAGAAAATTCGAACGTACTCCTTTATCCGACTTACTTACATGATGACTGACGTGCTCCATGTGATGGAAAAAATTGTTACTCTTTTTCAGAGAGAGAATATCAACTTGGGCATGATTATGCCAATTGTGAATTCTACGATTGACTCCCTTGCCAGTCTAGAAAACACAGCAGGTGAAAATGAACAGCATTTCTTGGATAATTTGAACAACGGGGAATTTCATGGAATTCAAGTCACATATGGGGACCCGCGATCTATCGGTGCGTTTGTGAAAACCCGTTGTGGGTTTATTGAGGAACTCTGTAACTCTCTGAGAAAAAGATTTCCGGAGGACTCGCTTGATATCGTTACTTGTCTGGACAAAGTGCTCAACCCAAGCCGATTTCCCCAAACGCAAGAGGAACTGACAGCTCACGGAAGGGAATCCCTCGAGAAATTACTGGACAAATTCTGCCTCCCGATTGGTCCAGCTGAAAATGACGTCATCAATCGCATCCGGGCGCAGCAGGATTTCACACCCTTCAAGATGGCGGTCAACAACATTGGAGCCGACTCGTTCGAACAAAGTTGCAAGACAGTGATTTCTGAACTTTCAGATATTTATCCCGACTTTTCCACTCTGTGCTCGATAGCACTTGCTATCCCAGTTAGCAGCGTTGATGCTGAACGTGGATTCAGTTTGCAAAACAGGATACACTCTGCCAGTCGCAATCGTCTTTCCCAACAACGGATAAACAACCTGATGCTGTTGAATCTACACGCAGACGTCAACAATACTGTCAAACAAGCTACGAAGATCTTTCGTAGAAAGAAACGCAAATTTTAACAAGTATTTGTCACAGAGTGACTAAATATCCCCCACCATATACACCATAGTACCAAATATGAAGACAATCCAGCGATTAGTTCTTGAGATATTGTGGCAACACCGTTTTCCAACTCCAAAAACAGATTTGCCTGCTGTGACCTTGAAAATGGGGTCAAGGTCACCAAATCTGACAGGTGTATGCGGTGTCTGTATATACACTATAGTTCCAAATATGAAGACAATCCAGCGATTAGTTCTTGAGATATCGCGGCAACACCGTTTTCTAACTCCAAAAGCAGATTTGCCTGCTGTGACCTTGAAAATGGGGTCAAGGTCACCAAAACCGACTGGTGTCTGCGGTGTCTGTATATACACCATAGTTCCAAATATGAAGACAATCGAGAGGTTTAGTTCTTGAGATATCGCGGCAACACCTTTTTCCAACTCTAAAAGCAGATTTGCCTGCTGTGACCTTGAAAATGGGATCAAGGTCACCAAAACCGACTGGTGTCTGCGGAGACTGTATATACACTATAGTTCCAAATATGAAGACAATCCAGTGTTTAGTTCTTGAGATATCGCGGCAACACCGTTTTCCAACTCCAAAAGCAGATTTGCCTGCTGTGACCTTGAAAATGGGGTCAAGGTCACCAAAACCGACTGGTGTCTGCGGTGTCTGTATATACACCATAGTTCCAAATATGAAGACAATCCAGTGTTTAGTTCTTGAGATATCGCGGCAACACCGTTTTCCAACTCTAAAAGCAGATTTGTCTGCTGTGACCTTGAAAATGGGATCAAGGTCACCAAAACCGACTGGTGTCTGCGGAGTCTGTATATACACCATAATTCCAAATATGAAGACAATCCAGTGTTTAGTTCTTGAGATATCGCGGCAACACCGTTTTCCAACTCTAAAAGCAGATTTGTCTGCTGTGACCTTGAAAATGGGATCAAGGTCACCAAAACCGACTGGTGTCTCCGGAGTCTGTATATACACCATAGTTCCAAATATGAAGACAATCCAGTGTTTAGTTCTTGAGATATCGCGGCAACAAACAGGTGGGACGTACGGACGTACGGACGTACGGACGGACGTACGGACGGTCGTGAATACTATATCCCCCGCTTCGCGCTTTCGCGCGGCGGGGGATAATAAACAAGTCAGTATGTTTTATGTTGTATTTTATTGAATTTATTAATGACTGACAAAAATCACAAATGACCGGTATTTTGGTACATTGCCGGCTCATCTGTCCGGCAGATAAAAATATGACCGGAATCACTGAATAAATTGATACTAGTAATGCACTATAGTCCATCTGTTAAAGCCACAGCACTAACACCAATAATAACCCTGTCAGTGTATAAGTGTCATGGGCACACTCGATTTTCTTTCTTAGCTCCCTGGGGAGTATACAACTAAGTCGCTAGAAGCTTAACAGTCACGTTACAATCCCATCCTACTGGGTACCCATTCACTGCTGAGTGAAAGGAGCCATACCTCATGTATAAATTATAATCTCACAATCTTGATATTCATTACATAGTTTCAACAAAATCATACAGAAAAATAATCATTTCGTCAGGGTTTGATTTAATTTTTTTATTTACAAAAAAAACACACATAACATTACAAATATAACAAACTAAATACCCTCTATTTCGTGGGAGTGTCTTACCTCTATGAAGTTGGCGAGCAGGGCACAGCTCAGCTCCTGTTCCAGGATGTGTCGGTTTGATTGGCTGTTGAAGCAGCAGGAAATGAGGGTAGGGAACAAGACATTGGTCAGGCGCGGGTCACTGAAGTACTGGAACGGCAGTGCGCACAACTGCTGCAACACTGTCGGAGGCTGGCCGGACTGGACAAACATCTGAAACAAACATCATTGTTTACAAAGATAGTCTGCAAAATCTATACAACAGAAAAGTAAAGAAGACACTGTCAATGTTCCCCTACAGCGTAGATAGTCGCCCATGCTATCAATAACTGGTTTGATTACTTACAAGACCCATCTCTGCACTGTAATATTGCTCACTACACTTGCTCACTCTCCTCTAGAACCAGGCTGGATTACTTGGTCATCATAACCTGATGTGGACTGAAGTGTACGCTGTCAGGAATGGTTCCCCCGCTACACTGTTTAAACCAAAGTGTGTTATATGACTGCAAAACAACTTACAGTGGAGTAAAACCCCATCCTTTCTCACTTAAATGATAAAAATGATCGTGTTTGCCATGGACACACAATTGAAAGTGAGTTATAAGTCAGCAGCCTGTAAATAATCAAGTCTGAGTCTAGGCCAGGCAAGCCACAGGTTGACTGCATGAGCTACAACTCATTCCATCACAGCCACATCACACATTGAATATGAATGTAATATCATATATGTCTATGTGATGTGAATAAGTCATGTTACAGTTAGCAATGTAGTAGTTGGATCACAGCATGCTGTGAGAGAGTGAATGCTAACTTATACTGCAGCTAGCAGTGTTACAGCTTCATCACTGGGGGCTGTAAATATACTAATCAAGTCCATACAAGACAAATTACAGATTCATTGTCTGTACCGTTTATGATGTCACCTGTGACAAAGCAGTAATAAAAATAACTAAAAAATGGATACTTGTAATACGCTCTAGTCCAGCCATTTAAACTTACAGCACCAACACAATTATTACCCGTTAGTGTATCAGTGTCATGTGTGCACTCGATTATCTTTCTCAGTTCCCTGGGAAGTATACAACTGACCACCCTTTTCTTATGACAAACATTGGGTAGTGAAAAGTTTGTGCCCAAATCCCACAAGGAATATATGATGAAAATGGGGACACACTTGTTTCCCAATATTTGCCCGAGAGTTCAGGTCCTAATCAATGTCCTTGCATATATCTGTAGATGCATACTTGCTCCAGACTAGTTTGTGGATGAGAATTGACAGACAATCAGATATGAGTGTTGATGGCGGCACATGTTAGACAACTTCACTGCCAAGCAAGGGAAGACCTACCTCTGATACTAACTCCTCAGGTGATAAGCAAAGACATTCATAAACAAAACCTTCTGATAGTAAAATAATACCTGATTGAAAACAACATGAAAGCACAATCTTCAAGATTACTTTCCACCGGGGGAGGTTATTATTCTGAAAACATTATTTCTATCCCAGTGATTTCTTTCTCAGTACTGATCCCTATTGTTGTTTGACATACGAATTTCCTCATAAAGCCTAAAATGAAAAAATATTTATTAATACACAATGCCATTTTGTGGTCGGGTAGGGTGGGGGAGTTGAGTCCCATCCAGGATTCGAACCCACACATTCAACCTAGAATCTGTACTTTACTGAGAAAGTGTTATTCCAATATTTAGTTTTCTGTACTCAGCTATTTAAACTTTTCCCTACTGACTTACAGATGTTAAAAGTTAAGTAAGGATCCTGTGGTCCATGGGTTTTGCTACTACAGCATTGTATTCTAGAGGTCCCAAAATATTTCCTTTTAACATTAGGGTTCACAGAAGAACCACTTGGCTTTCATTCTTAAATTGAACACTCCAAAGTACCATAACAAAGAAACTTTGTCTACATACTTATAACCTTATACTTAAACACTTCAACAAATAATACTGAATCAAAGCTTTTAAAATCTAACTAAATTAACTTAACACATTCTTCTCTTAAAAACTGCTTTGTCATTAAGATGAAAAGCATACTATTTCAAATCTATTTTCATAGGATTCAATAACATCTCATGTCCAAAACATGTTTTAGGTATCTAACATATAAACACCACTTGTCTCAGCAGCCAGTACACTAGACCAGTTTCTATACAAAGTACACATGAGACTCTATACCTAACACTGTAAAAACTAACCCAAACTCTGTAACTGGCACGGGATAGCTGAGTGAGACAACTAAAGCACATAACTTGGACTTTAAGTCCCAAAAGAATTCAGCTATTGTCTACCGAGCCCAGAGGTGATAAGAAACTCGTCATGGGCCAGTTTCCTGTTACAGGATATTTTGATAAGCTCAAAAATTAATAAAGCCGAGTCCGGGGACCAAGCACTGGCTCTCTGATACCCTGATCTTCGAGGAACTGGCAGCCAGATAGTCCCTCAGAGACCCCCATGCAATTTATCTTCCATTCAGTGGTCAATTGATTTCATCTCTCAACTTGATCATCTTTCAAAATAAATGAAACACAGATCATTTGTGGATACTGCCAATGCCTTTTGTCTGGTAGCAAAACAAAGAATTAAAGTGCAGTTGGAAAACCATCAGTCGATCCTGGACCATGAAAACAATGTGCTAAGTGTCTGGGCCACACTGTCAAGGAGAGACTGGTTCAATATATCACTGCACACAAAAGTATCAGGGACACATCTTGAAGCCAACTTGACACTGGAGTATCTAGCATTTATTCAGGTCCATTATTTAGCAGTCAACAAAATGGAATGGCTTTTGGATAGCTGACATAGCTAAATGTTGTGCAGCAATAACTATCAGTCTTTTACTGTTTTTCAACTGGTATTGGCAAAAGCAATTTGATACTGACGATTAGATTGTAATACAATATATTTTTTAATCTCTCTACCAATATTACAATTATTACATGAGGAAGAAGCTTGATATTCCAAGTCTCTGGGTATTTTCAATGTCGTGCACTGATACATTTCATCATGTAGTTTATTAATGATTGGACAATGTCATAAGAGTTGCCATCCAGGTATGACCCTTTGATGAGCAGTCTACTACAGCTCAGATGCATAATTTTGTAGCCCCAAGTATAAAAGTATTTCGAGTTGAGTCAACTTTGCAGTGACTTTAACCTTATCACACAAAATCCATGACTTCTCTTTTTCATATTGAGACTAAGAGGAGATTAGCAGTGGGGTTGCCTTGTGGTTGAAGCATTAGCTGGTCACTCAGAAACACATTCCTAGCACCATATACAAGAATACTGGCTTCAACCCAACTCACTCACTCACTGGAAGAAGACAATTCTGATTGGCTATAATGCTGACACCACACATTTTCTGTTGACTAGATTCATCAATAATATTTGACAGATCAAGTCTCTGGATAGGAATAAGGTCTGAACCGTAGCGGTGTCTGATGAAGCTACTAACTATGCATAAGTGACTGAATCTTTTTTCTACAGACACGCATCATGAATGCCATGAAACATTGTAAAGAGACCAAGGAGATTACTGTTGTTAAGAATGTCCAATACTTCTAATACATCTTCTTAGACAGAAATGTTGAAAATCGTAATAGTTCACGATATTATCTGAATAACTACATGTGAATTTGTGTGCATTTGATGAGCTTGAAATGTTATTTACCAATGAGGCAAATGAAAATGTTATTATAGATGTTATTCATATGTTTAAATTATATGTTTAAAGTATCATTATGGTATTTAACCTGTTTATATAAATAAGACACAACCTACATAAATATGTTGTCATCATACCAAGATAAGGTCATTATTGTCATATTAGTGTGGCGGCTCATGAGTGAATTGACTATAGTTTGCTCTTTGTCCATATTAATCAGTTTCAGTGTACATAACCATTCAACTGATGACATCATAAGTCATGCAATGATGTCATAGATGAGGAATGTTTCAAAGCAAAACACATTCACTTTTAAGCAATCTCTCATACATTTAGAATAAATTGACTGTGTTTCTTTAACAATTGGACGCTTTGTCCATGAATTTCAACTCCTTCACTTCATAATGGCAAAGGACTGCCAAAATTGTTGTAACATCACGCTCATGCAGGACTACTTGAATTACGAAGTAAATGTAAACCCACACAAGCAGCCATCCTCAAGAGATATGTGCACAATTTGCAACAAGGATTTTTTAAACATTGTCTGAATTTCTGCTCCCAAAAGATTATCAAGCTGACTTGATACGTATTGATACCTTTGAAATATTGTTTGCTTGACCTGCAATTACGTTATGTACATGTTTATTTATACAAATGTTTACAGTGCATCTTCATCTAATGAAATATTTTCTGCCAAAGCAAATGTCAATCTAAGATCTAGGGTGTAAGTTGTCCTGGAAGCAGTGAATCTTTCAACACCCCTACTTATCTACATCACACCACAAATATCAGCATTGTCACTCACACTCCTAAACTGTCTTCTTTTAAAACAAACCTTTCACAGATCTCCCTACCAAGCACCAGGATTGCTCAAATAAATTGGTACATGACTTTTTAACAGCTACTTCACACAGAATCCCTATTTTGTTATTGTACAGATCTTCCAAATACAAAATACTAATTAACAAAAGGAAATTTGAAATGTTCATCTTAAAATAACAACCATTCCAAAATGTTTCAATTTATGTGAAAAAGAAAAGTGAAAAAAACTAAAGTAAACCAGCTTTTACAATTCAAACATTTAACATACTTGAGTCATTACAGATTTAGATGGCCCAGGAGATAGGAAAGGCAGAGGTTGAGAGTCATTTCTGGCGATAAGTTGATCAAAGTTGTGTTGACATGACTGACGGGAGTCCTCCCCTTTCTGTTACAAATTATATTCACATCTATCTGCCTGCTGGCACACTGGGCATATTTCAAACATCACCCCACAGTGACACCATAAATCACAAAAACTTTCATTGGTCAGAATTGTTGTGTTCAACACAGCAATCTCGCATACACTTCCCTCGCAAGTTATGTTACAATCACGTGCTTCTAATTTACCAACATTCTTTTTATTTCCTGTTTCTACGATGTTTTTCAGGGCAAAGGAATTTTTCGTTAGCAAGCTAGCATAACTCATTGCACCTTCGGATTGAGGGAAACACAGAAAATAATTAAAGGCAGATTAAGTCAGTGTGGGT